GGTGGCGGCTGCTGCGGAGCGCCCCCCTCCCTTTCCCCAGAGCCGCTGCCGGCTCCTCCTACTTCCCCACCCCCTCCTCCTTCTTCCCCGAGCGGAGGGGGTTCCCCGAGTTTAGAGGACCCGGGCTCTAGGTTCCCCGGCGGCTCCTCTGTGGGGCCAAGCCTCCGGCCGCCCACCGGGGCCAGGGTTGCCGCGGGGGCCGCTTCAGCACCAGCCGCGGGCTGGACAGCTCCCGGCACAGCCCCTTTGGGAGCCGGGGGCGCCGCCTTCTCCGCCCCGCCTCCGCCTGCGCCTCCTCGGCTGCTGGCCCCAGGCACCGCGCGGCCCGCGGTCTTGTTGCCCTGCTGCTGCTGCTGCTGCTGCAATTGCTGCTGCCGAACAGAATTGAGTTTAGTGCCTGCCCCCACCGGGGACCGGGTAGCTGCTGTGGCCTGTCGGACCGTATTGTCCCTCAGTCTAGCGGGTGATTGAGCTCGCTGCTGCTTTCTGCTGCTGCCCTCCGGGTGCAGGCGAGCCTCGGTGGCGGCGGTGGCAGCGGAAGCTGCGGCTGTGGCGGGGGCAGCGCCCCCGGTCGGTGGCTGACTCATGGCTGTCTAGGAAGAATCTACTGGATGCGATTTAGAGTGGTCCATCGCCAGATCACTCTCGTCCCTCCTCACCGCCACCAAACTTCCTTTCTAATCTGGAACAGAAACAAAAGAAGGAAAACATACAAGCTCTCTGCATTGTTACAGAGCAATGCAAGAAAAGTCCTTGAAAATGAGGTTTGGAAGGTGCTTAATAGAGGCCTTGACTTTAGGAGTAAGATGCAGAATTGTCCATTCTCGTTTTGCCAAGGGAGGCGCTATCTCCAACCCATTCCATTAAAATGATGGCGATGTGAAAGCAGTTGAACCTTACATTCTCAAAGTAGCATGTTTTGGCAAGGGTGAGACACGGAGCCAGAAAAAGAATGGAAGGCAAGGAAGATTTTTTTTTTTTTTTAAAAAGAGGGTTAAAGTCCAGAAGAAGTTTCAGAAGAAAAGGAGATGTCAACTAGAGTTGTGAATACCCTAATTTTTCAACTTTGGTTTTTCTCCCCTCAAAACTGCAATTTATAGCATACTTTAGTGGAGAGGGTTCTGTTTAATTAATATTCCCAGTGTCAATTGCAGGAAAAGGGTTATGAAGGAGGCTCCTGAAGAAAATTTCCTAGGAATAAATGATACTTTTCTCAATGTTCTTAGTTGGAAAAACACACCCAACTTCCTTTTTACTAATAACATTTTCAAGAAAATAATGGCACTAGAAATCATCTATATAGTTTAGTCGTTAGCAGTTCTGAAAGGATTTTACTTTTTAAGCGTTGGGAAATAATTTTTAAAAACTTTTAGAAAAGTTTATTGACAGATGTGCACAATTTCTTTGAAATACAGGTGATGACTTTTTCTACACTTATCCACATTTCATAGTTTTGTGAATTTTTTTATGTTTAAGTGTAATTGCTCGATAGAAAATGTTTTTATTCTTAAGCACCTTCTCAGATGATATATCATCGGCAGAGTAATATTTTTCCAGTGCCCGGTCCCTCCTATGGAGCCAAATTCTGAGACAGGATGACCCTGCAACCAATAAGGCTGCTACATCCCCGCTCTGCATCCAGAAGGCTGGTGCATCCTAACTCATGGTGATAAGACCAATCTTTATTGTGTATTTTTTCAAAGAAGCCGTCCATGGTATTTAAAATCTGGAAAATAGCAAACCATTGCCTCCTGGGTTCTCCCTAGTGATCCAGCTAGCTAGTCAGCTAGTCAATTAGGTGCCTTTTCCTTAGAAATACAATTTTCCTCTAAAGTACTGTAAAGGGCATGACTAGGCAGAAAGTTCTGCTTTAGAAAAATCTTCCTGTTAGGAGACAAGATGCTTGCTAGTTACTTCACTAGCATTTTTCTTATTATTGTCTATTTTCAGTAGCATAACTTAGTCAACACGCAGTGAATCCTCATGTTATAAAGAAATATTACTGGAGGGCCGTCTCCAACTCCCTTTCTCTTCTCGGGATCTCCTTCCAACTCCGTTTGGAAAATAAAAGTGAACAAAGAAGACTTGGGGAGGGGGGTAAAAGCTGTCCACCAACTTATTTTCTACTGTTCTCTTTGAGCCACATACTCCTGGAATGTGTGGCCTGGTTCATCTGTGTGGGTCACACTAACGTGGATCGCTCAAACAAGCTATTTTGCCAATGCAAACTTATTTTTGGTTTGAATTGGGCAGAATCATCCCGGAGCTGAGAGCCACCGGAGAACACCAAACTCGGTCCCCAGACAGGCCTAGCCCAGGAGAAAGCTGGGCTTCCACAAGCAAAGGTATCTGACTGCCGTCACGTGGTTCTCCCCAAGTGACAAGATGCTGTGTCTCTTCCCCGCAGAAATGATCAACCAAGCAACCCCAGAACAGCCCAAAGGAACACGTTTAGTCTGCAGTTTTATCTACCCGTTAACCTACCCTGTCTTTCATCCCCATCCATTTAGAAATCCGGGAGAACCATTCACTTCTCAGCAGAGGAGACGGTGGGAAGTTGATGCAAATCAGCAGCTTTCCTTCTGATCTTCCAGCGACCGCAGGGTAATTGTTTTGTCCAGAGACGAGGAACGTTTAACTTCGTAGTATAATATTCGACTTTCTGGGTAAGCAGGACTTTGGGCCCACCGGCCCCAGTTCCACACCCACTGGATTTCTCCAAACAATGGCGTTAACCTGTGGACTCGGCGGCCCCCGGAGCGGCTTCCTTGCAGGCGGTCCGCGGCCGGGCTGGGGCTGTTCATGAGCTGACCTCACCGGCTAGGCAAGGGAGGGGGCGGGATTGCAAGGGAGGACACAGTAGAAGTAGCCAAAGAGAGGCTACTTTCAAGAGGAAGGAGAAGAAGGCGGGGACGGGGGAAGGGGTGGGGGTGGCAAGAAGACAAAAAGGCCCGGCCACGCCCGAGATGGAAGCTCCGTAGCCAGGCTCCAAGTACTTGCGGCACTCCCGGATCCCGTCCTGGGCAGATGGTTCCAAAACAGCTCGAAATCCGATGCACTGTTTTTCTGCAAAGCTTGGTCCTGGGCTCGCTCAACCTCCATCAATTATTCACTGGATTCTTTTCGCGGGGAGACGGATGCGAACAGCCTTCCGGGCGTGACTGTCTCCTGATGCAGCTGCCAGGCGCTGGCGGGCGGCTGCTGGGAGTTCTCTTTGTTCGCTCACTTTAATTCTCAGTCGAGCTCTCCACGCGGTGCACGTCCCCACCCCCAGCCCGGGCGGAGTCAGCAGACGTCGTTTCTATGAGTAGGCCTGGTTGCCAGACCCACCATCCCACAGACAAAGGGTTCCTGTGATGCCACGACTCCTTTAGTGCAAACAGAACAAATACCGGTTTACAGAGAGCGTTTGTAGCCGAGTTTGCCCTGGGCACATTCTCTGCTCTCTCACGCTCTCGTTTCCTCTGTGAATACAGCACCGATTGCTAGGATCCATACTCGTTATAGTAGTGCGTGTGTGTAACAGGAATCATCACGAGTGTATTTATACGATACGAGCTTAAGGAATTGGGCTGGTGGGCCATTCAGAATTGATGCCTGTAAGATGTACACTGGTCCATACTGTTCCACAATAATAACATTTAAAAAGAATCTGACAGGAAAATCCTCTTTTACCACCCTGTTTTTGTTTTTTTGGTTTTTTGTGTTTGTTTGTTTGCGGAGGGGAGTGGGGAGTGGGGTGGAAAACATGAAGGTCTCCTCCTACCTCTAAGAATTCCTTAGTGAATTTAAAGATGAGAATAAAATAAACACTGCTTTAGATAGTATTTTTAAAAATTAAAAATTTTTAAATTAAAAGGGTATTTTTAAAAATTAAAATTTTCTTACATTTAATATTGTGGTTTTGTATCTAAAAGGAGGTCAATGCCTTGACATAATAATTTTTTATACTAACATGAATTTCAGTGTAATATTTTATTTACCAAGTGTAACATCTCTCATTAAAATGAAGTTTAAACAATTTAGTAGTAGTTTGCATACAAGCAATATCATTATAGCAAAATAAAAAAGATGTTCAAGCCATGGTGAACCAAATCTCCAGCTATATATCAGATAAGTATATTATCATGGCAAAATCATTCATGTATCATCTGCTCCAAAATAGATGAGTGCCTATTTTATGTCTGGCACTGTCCAGGGTGCTGGTTATGCAAAGATTAAATTAAGAAATAATCCCTGTTCTGAGGATGCTCAAACCTATTGGCTAAGGATTAGAACAATGGCCATATAACCCTTTGGAGACTTTGGACGGTGGAATGTGATATCTGTGACACCTGTAATCAATAGCTCAGACCTTGACAAGCATATGGAAAATAGAGGAATAAAAATTAAGTAAAATGTAATCATTTATTTAGAATTTATATCCTGCAATTTTTCATTATGTATCCAAATTTGAGTTGTGATTTCCTAAAGAGATGCCAAGATCCATAGGTATCATTCAACCAAAATGGATAAAAATATGTTTCTGCATTAATTTTTAAAAATTATATTATGAACATAGTCTAAGAACACAAAACATACCTGTCCCTGCTTCTCCAAGAACTTATACACTGTTCAAGCATCTGTTTCAAATTTTTCCTAAGGTAGCATTTATTTTAATGTAATTAGTAAGTTTAGAAACAATAAAGTCAAGAATTTATTATCATGCAGTCAATATACTTAAATGTGTATATTAATAATATAGTGTGCAATCTCAAGGTTGAAAATGAAAAAAAAACAGTGAGTATAAGTGATATTTAAGATACTTCTTTATTAAAGTAAATATGCTACAAGAACTTTTGAACTGGGATTATCTTCCTTATTCCTTTATTTTCCAGTTAAAGTTATATACCTTCAAATTAAGCAAGCCTCAGAGAAGATTATTCAGCGATTTGTCTGAATTTAGAAAGGAATTATTTTTACCGTGTTTTAGAAGAAGATGGGGCCAAGGACCTTTTTAATGATTGTAATAATGAAACATCTTCTCTGTAACACAGTAAGATGTGGGTCTTCAATCAAGAAAAGAAGGCTAAAGTCTCAAATTCAAAGCCCTTAAGAAAACATAGTTTTAAATCTACTATTGTCTGTGTCCTTGGGTTATGCAAATCCTATATAATAAAAGCCTAATATCCAAATTGACTGAACAGCAGAACGACCAGTTGCAGTGACCACCAGGGGGGCAGACGCTCAATGCAGGAGCTTCCCCTAGCCCACAGGCCCCAGGCCAGCCAAGGCTGGTGCCAGCAGGGCCCCCCCCACCCCCTGCCATCGCCCCACCAGTTGTTCCCCAGAGGGAGGAGACCAGCAGTAACAGCAGGGAGTAGGGCTGGTGAGTGGGCAGCACCAGGCCGGCCAACGCGGGTGCCAGCAGGGGGGCCTCCCCCATCGCCCCACTGGTTGCCCTGCAGATTGGCCCTGATCGCGAGCCAGGCCTAGGGACCCTACCCATGCTTGAATTTCTTGCACTGGGCCTCTAACTGTGCATATAAGTTCTTTGGTTAATCTCTTTCTTCCCCCACCCCTTCCCTCTGAGATTCATCAGTCAGGTCCATTCCATGCTTCTATGTCTCTGAATCTATTTTGTTCATCTGTTTATGTTGTTCATTAGATTCCACAGATGAGTGAGATCATATGACACTTGTCTCTCTCTGACTGGCTTATTTTGCTTAGCATAATACTCTCAAAGGGTAAGAGAGCCTCTTTTTTACACCTGCATAGTATCTAGAGCAGGGGTGGGCAACCTTTTTGTGAGTGCGTGCCAAAACCAGCAAAATCTCTGACACAAAATTCTTCTGCGTGCCAACCCTAATTTTTGAGAACATGTTACACCTACTTGATATCTCTTAAGGTGTACATATGTGAAGAACCTTGAAGAAATCATAAAATTCATTCGAGCTACAAAAACACAGTATGTGAT